GCATACAAGGTACATTTGTTCCATATTTAGAAAGTAATTCTGTAAACACTTTCTTGCTTTTAAAAACAGAATTTCCTTTTTATTTTTAAATTCTTAACATGGATAATGATGGTAACACTTCTTGGTTTACCTCAACAAGCTTCTTGGGGAAAAAAAAAAAAAATCAGCCCAATGTTGGAGGTACAACTCGAACTCTCTTGGGTGGTGGAGGTGGTGATGAGATGTTCTGTGATGTGGCAACTTCTGCCTGGAAGCTTCTTTGTTTCAGTGGCTTTTGGACACCAAGTAGCTTGCAGTCACGACGGTAAATCAACCATGCGTTGACAACACCGAGCATGATGGTTTGCCAGAACATGTAGAGATACCACCTCCGTGACTTCATGTGGTACTTGTACCTTGCAATGCAGGCGTCAAGCAGGTCAATACCTCCCATGAATGTGTTGTACTCCTTCACAATGTGTGGCCTTTTGACCTCAACAAATGCCTTGTCCGATTTGCTCCAGCGATGGACTGTATCTTGAGGCTCAGTTGCACAATAGGATGAGATGAGGGTAACAGATTTGTTGTCATACCACTTCACAATAACCATGCTCTCCTCCTCATTCACCCTGGCATCAACAGATCCTCTGCCTCTCTGGGCAAGACTTTTTTCATCTTCAAGCTGCCAACCTGCTAAGCGATTTCCACGAAGTGTTCCTACAAAGTAGATCTGTCGCTGAAGAAGTGTGAGCAGTGGGGCTGAGGAGAAGAAGTTATCAGCAAAAACTTTGTAGTTTTGCTCAGCTGGCAGAGTTTCACACAACTTCACCACATCTCCTCCAATCCCAAGTAAAGTCTTCTTCCCAGTACCACCTTGATAAACAACAAAATCATGGAGCATACCAGAGGATGAGCACCGGGCCCAGATTTTCAATCCCCAGGGGTGGGGCTTTCCCTTCACATACTGCGTTATTGGGCTGTGTGTCCCCTTGAAGGGTACCATTTGCTCATCAACAGAGTTGTACTCCTCTGGGACGATATCCAGGCATTGTTTGCGAAACATTTCAAGCCATGGACGGATCTTCCAGCACTTGTCTTCTGCATCTCTGTGTAATAAATCTGTATTGTCAGTGAAATGTAGAGATCCCAACAGGGTTAGAAATCGGTTGCAGGACATGTTATCTGCTACCATAGGACACCTGGTGTCATTTTCCCAGTATGCTCGATTTCCAGGCATTTGGCAACGCCTCGACAAAGCTAAAGTAAAGTTCCATCACAAATTTAGGTAATTTAATAAATTAGGTATGCTTGAATTTAGTTAAATATGACTGAGGATTAACAACAAAGAATACATTTACTTAAAATAATTGAATGAGCTAAACTGACTAAGCAAATGATCAGTTTTTGTCTTTTTGTGACAAATATGTGACATCAGTTTTTTTAAGAAAATTTGGAGTTTAATGCCCGATGTGACATATTTGTCACAGCGATATTTAACAAACTGATTCTAGATCAAATTGTTTCAGAAATATTACCAAACTAGGTTACAAGTGACCTATGACATCTTATCTAAAGTTTATAATTGCTGAATGAGTAAAAGCTTACCTTTGCAAAAAGAAAAGAAAGTTTTTAAAATTAGCATAGTGGTCTCATTAGCTAACCAGGTGGACCACGACTTTGAAAATGGTGTCTTGAACACCCAGAGTGCCTCACTTGTCACATGACTGAACTAGTTTGTGCAGTAGACGTCACTTAGGGACTTTATTAGTTAAAAGTCAAAGTTAAACCATTATAAATAGTTTTTCTCTAAGTGTAAGGGGGCGGTGACACCAGTGTCACTGTGGGTCCTTAAGGGTTAAAATTGCTAAAAGTTAACCTACACTGGGTTCATTAATCACTGTATGAAGAAGAGTCTGTGCCAAAACCAATTCTCACTATGCTGGTGTTTTTCTTTCTTTATTTTTGTTAATTCGTGAGGTGAATTTTAATCCTGTATTGAAAAAAAAAAAGAGAAAGTTACTATAAAAGTGTCGAAAAGCCCCCGTCATTTGTAAATCAGACCGGCGGGACGTCCCTTCCCTTTCGTAACTTACGTCGACGACTGATGTGCATTTCCCATCCGCCTAGACGCACGAGAGTAGTGTCACTGGGTAGGCGTTTTCTAGTCTGGAAAGTGTTGTTTTGTTTGTTCGCCGCGCACCCAGTGCACTCTAACTCCGAGAACCGGAGCCGAAAATGTCCTTTCACTCGGTTTTGGAAGAAACAAACTCTTTAACGATGAATGAAGGGGATCGGTTGGATACTACCATCTATGCGTGTCCGGCTTATGAGCTCAGTAAAGCGGTGTCGGTGTCTTTGGGTTTGGATTCGGTGTCTTCTCCGCCCAATAATATGAACCAGAGCTCCAGCAGCGCCTTCGCGGAATGCGACTCCACTGTGGCGGATACTTCTCGGGGAGTGCCAGAGTTGAGAAGGACGGGAAATATGAACTCCGACAGCAGCCTGCTTGTCCTGGGTGACAGCAGCCTTAGAGAGGACGACTTTGGAGAAGTGTGTCAGGGCATACAGCAGGTGAGCTGTATGGATCTGTTCGGATCGGGCGAAATGGACGGTGCGCAAACTGTGACGCGTGGCTCGGTGATATCCAGATACGTCTGCAGGGAGTCAAATGTGTTTATTAACCCCACGCTGGAGCTGCCCGCGACCCCTCAGGTGGCCGAGGTCGTACCTTTAAAACCACCTTCGTCTTACTATGCCAGTTCAGACTTATATAGGGATTTCCCACCGCAAATGTGGTGCGCAAATGAGCGCGCATACATCGACCGATCCCAGCCTCAGCCACAGCCACAGAGGGGAGATTCAGGGGAACATAATTTTTTGTGCAAATACTGTAATTGTGGGCAAGCTCCTCGCAGAAACAGGCAGGAATGCCGCTGTATCTGGTACGGTAGAGGTGAGCAGGGTGGCATGCGAGCGACGGCACAAGGATATGGCCAAATGGAAAGTTACCCAAGTGCGATTCCTCAGGGGCAGAGCACTTTCTCCACTATCAAGAGCGAACCTTCGGTGTGGATGAATTGCACAGATCGCAGTTTAAGGTAAAGATCAGATTCGAATTTTGTGTGCGTCAGGTCAAAAGGCCATTCATACTGAGTACAGTACATTCAGTACTACCGATCCCTCCCATCTCTCACACGTTTCGTTAATGAGAAACACACAGCATGAGCGTCGTGCCAGTAACTGCGCTTCAATCAACCCGCTTTGCAGTCGGGCTTTGGTCATTTTGTCTTCTAAAAGGAGTGCTGTAATGAGTTTAGGCGTAAGTTCGCAGATGTTTAACGGTGCACTGTCTTTCCCAATTTCATGCTTAGTTTCTTGACGTTTCTGTGAGAGCCACAAAGCATAAGCTAATTGGATAAGTGTCAGCACAAATAAATCAAAGGCAGCGAACACGATTATTATGTATCGCTATCAGCCATGACTTCTATTGATACTCTGTGGAGTCCTGAAATGTTCAGCAGCACTGAACCCTTTGTCCTCCAACAGCATGGTGTGCTTTTTTTGTTTTGTTTTGGCTTTCTCTAAATCATGTTATAGCATGCAGCTACAGCAACTTAAAGTTTATCCTATTCTTAAGATTTTCCAGAAATGTCCTTATAAGCCCTGGGACTGCAGCAGTAGGAAATGTATCAGTGTCCCTATAAAGAAGAGATACAGCACCTGTTTCTGCTTCTAGAAAGAAAGCCTTTTATTTTATTACAAGTTGCGGATTTATTAAAAAAAATTTCACTCTGGAATGTGTTAATCACAACTTTTACTTTGGAGCAAACTGACTCCCTTTGCTGACAAATTGTCAACCACATGATGGAAAAAATTTAATTCGATTGGATTTTAGGGAATTGGCATGATAACGCTCAGTGAAGGCAGACCTACTAACCCAAAACCGATAATGTCTGTGTGAGTGCTTTTTAATGTCTGCTGCAATTCTTCATCAGTGTCTTCCCTCAGTTTTTAAAAGGGTTTAAAAACTGAGGGAAGACACTAAAACAACACCATCGTGTGTGTGTGTGTGTGTGTGTGTGTGCGCGCGCGCGCGCGCCCAGGCATGAGGATTTTTTTCCAGGTGTGTATCTGTCAGAAAGGAGAGTGTGTCAAGTGTGCGGAGATGACGCCTCGGGTTGTCACTATGGAGCAGTCACCTGCGGCAGCTGCAAAGTATTCTTCAAGAGGGCCGCTGCAGGTGGGTGCAACACACACACACACACACAATTACTCACTCACTGATTTTAATTTCTTACACCCACTTGCTCTCTCCTGTAGACAGGGCACAGTGACCCTGACATTATGAGGTCGAGTTATTTGTTATCAGTAAACGCCCACATATCGTTGCTATGAGTGGAAGCCTAGGCATTGTTGAACTCGCACTCCTCATCCCCCAGCACTCTTGTGTGCCTCCAGGTAAGCAGAACCACTTGTGTGCCAGCCGAAACGACTGCACCATCGACAAACTGAGGCGGAAAAACTGCGCGTCGTGTCGCTTAAAGAGATGCTTCATGTCGGGAATGAGCCTTAAAGGTGAGCTGCCAGAGATGAGGAAATAATGAGACATAAATAAAGGAAAGTATTTTGCAGTTTTAAAAAAATAGGTCAGCGTGGTCAGATTCCTTACATTTATTAGATTAGAAGCCCTCCAGCTGAATTCCAACAGAATCATCTCTCCAGGTCGCAGGCTGAAGGGAACCGGGCAGGCGAGTAATGGAGAAGAGGAGCAACAGCCAGCTAGCTGGGGACACGGAGAAAAAGAAGGGAGAGCAGCGAAGAAAGATGCAGTCTTGGAGTCCAGAAATGCAGCTCTCAGGGCTCAAGGTGGTAAAGATTAGTTGCACAGAGCTCAAATGTCAGGTTTATTCAACGCTAAATTTACTTTTGTCAGAAAAGACTCGATCTTGCCACACTTTCTGCTTCATGTTGTTTTTATCTACATATCTCGAGCAGCTTCCCAGGCCCTGGTTGCGGCCATCCCCCCACCCCTGCACTCCCGCCTGTCCCTGCTCAGCATCCTACAGGCTATTGAGCCAGCTCTGGTCAATGCCGGGCATGATCCTGCCCAGCCAGACAGCCCTATGTCCTTGCTCACCAGCCTGAACGAGCTGGGAGAACGGCAGCTGGTAACTGTGGTCCACTGGGCCAAGGCAATACCAGGTAAACTAATCTGAGCCAAGGTAATTAATTCCAAGTAGCTCTTCCAAAGAATCCGGTAGGGAGCACATTTCCATGGCTGCTTCCATTTTGGTTTCTAGTCAAACATACCACTTGCATTCCTTGTTAAGCAAAACCCTGAAAGATCAGACTTGTAAACAACTTTGACTAAGAGAGTAGATGGTAAATGGGCAGTTTGAGAAGAAATAAGCGTAATTCAATCAAAAATTACATTAGAATTCCCTGCGGTTTGGATGAGCAGTACCACTGTTAGGAAATGTATTTAATCTGCCAGCACTGAGCAAGGCCTCAGTATCTAGGTCAAAAGATGAGAGACCTTTCCAGAAGTTTGCGCTGGTTTAGTGTCCATGCAAAACAAACAAAGTTGTTCAAATATTAGCCACTAGAGGGGGATGTTTCCCATTTAAGCAAAAAAGAAAAAGAGGAAGGCTGAAAATGGCCATCATTGTATCCATGTTTGCCTCAACAGTTATTTAATTAATTAATATTAATCAGCTGATTTTTTTTTTTTAAATAATAAAACTGTTAATGCTTAACCCTGAGGAGAGCTTGATAACAGCGTCTTTTGTTAACAGGGTTTCGGGACCTGCATATGGATGACCAGATGTCAGTGATTCAGCTGTCATGGATGGGGGTGATGGTGTTTGCCTTAGGCTGGAGATCCTACACGCTGACTAACAGCTCTATGCTCTACTTTGCTCCAGACCTGGTTTTCAATGAGTGAGTTTCAGCAAATATTCAATTTAACATCAAACAACGAATTCACAAAAAAGGAGACGCAAAATCTTTATCAAACTAAGAAACGAGAAATTATCACTGTGGCAAGGGGTTTTCTGGAATGCCATGAGACTTCACTTGTCATCGTGAAATGCGATGAAAGGCACGGCGCAACACTTTTCTGGTGTTTTTCGGCAGGAGGAAAACAAACAGCGAATGTCTCTCCGGGCACGCCAGCAAACCCGCCACTTTGCATTTGATAAATGCGGCAGGCGGAGGAAATCGCCTCAAATGCTTTACTCTTTTTCATCATCGCATAACCATTCATCAGTGTCCAAGAACTTCCACTCTGACAAGTTTTAATTTACACTCCAACCTCACCCCCTCTGCCCCTTATCAAAATGTTTCTGACACCTCAACTCCAGCCTTTGTCTTTTTCTTCCTTTCCCAAAAGAAACGGAGTTTGTGTCACAAAAATTGCTGCACATGAGTCTCTCTTCCCCCCCCAGGCTGTTATCAGTAAATTGTTGTGTCAAAAAGAAAGAAGGTATGACGATGTTCGCCAACCCTCATGGCAGCTCTGAATTGATCAGTGTTTTGCGTGACATTAGCAAAACACTATTTCTGTCTGTGTTACATCCCTGTCGCTCTATTAGGCTGCTTCTGACCTGCATAGT